TGTGACTGAGCGAACACAGCATCAGTGTGTGTGTGATAAACTGAGCGAACACAGCATCAGTGTGTGTGTGACTGAGCGAACACAGCATCAGTGTGTGTGATAAACTGAGCGAACACAGCATCAGTGTGTGTGATAAACTGAGCAAACACAGCATCAGTGTGTGTGACTGAGCGAACACAGCATCAGTGTGTGTGACTGAGCGAACACAGCATCAGTGTGTGTGTGACTGAGCGAACACAGCATCAGTGTGTGTGACTGAGCGAACACAGCATCAGTGTGTGTGATAAACTGATCGAACACAGCATCAGTGTGTGTGTGATAAACTGAGCAAACACAGCATCAGTGTGTGTGACTGAGCGAACACAGCATCAGTGTGTGTGACTGAGCGAACACAGCATCAGTGTGTGTGTGACAGAGCGAACACAGCATCAGTGTGTGTGACTGAGCGAACACAGCATCAGTGTGTGTGATAAACTGATCGAACACAGCATCAGTGTGTGTGTGATAAACTGAGCAAACACAGCATCAGTGTGTGTGACTGAGCGAACACAGCATCAGTGTGTGTGACTGAGCGAACACAGCATCAGTGTGTGTGTGATAAACTGAGCGAACACAGCATCAGTGTGTGTGACTGAGCGAACACAGCATCAGTGTGTGTGACTGAGCGAACACAGCATCAGTGTGTGTGTGTGTGTGTGTGTGTGTGATAAACTCCTCGACCAGCGAACACAGCATCAGTGTGTGTGACTGAGCGAACACAGCATCAGTGTGTGTGACTGAGCGAACACAGCATCAGTGTGTGTGTGACTGAGCGAACACAGCATCAGTGTGTGTGTGATAAACTGAGCGAACACAGCATCAGTGTGTGTGATAAACTGAGCGAACACAGCATCAGTGTGTGTGACTGAGCGAACACAGCATCAGTGTGTGTGATAAACTGAGCGAACACAGCATCAGTGTGTGTGACTGAGCGAACACAGCATCAGTGTGTGTGTGATAAACTGAGCGAACACAGCATCAGTGTGTGTGACTGAGCGAACACAGCATCAGTGTGTGTGACTGAGCGAACACAGCATCAGTGTGTGTGACTGAGCGAACACAGCATCAGTGTGTGTGACAGAGCGAACACAGCATCAGTGTGTGTGACTGAGCGAACACAGCATCAGTGTGTGTGTGACTGAGCGAACACAGCATCAGTGTGTGTGATAAACTGAGCGAACACAGCATCAGTGTGTGTGACTGAGCGAACACAGCATCAGTGTGTGTGACTGAGCGAACACAGCATCAGTGTGTGTGATAAACTGAGCGAACACAGCATCAGTGTGTGTGACTGAGCGAACACAGCATCAGTGTGTTTGATAAACTGAGCGAACACAGCATCAGTGTGTGTGACTGAGCGAACACAGCATCAGTGTGTGTGACTGAGCGAACACAGCATCAGTGTGTGTGACAGAGCGAACACAGCATCAGTGTGTGTGTGATAAACTGAGCGAACACAGCATCAGTGTGTGTGATAAACTGAGCGAACACAGCATCAGTGTGTGTGACTGAGCGAACACAGCATCAGTGTGTGTGATAAACTGAGCGAACACAGCATCAGTGTGTGTGACTGAGCGAACACAGCATCAGTGTGTGTGACTGAGCGAACACAGCATCAGTGTGTGTGACTGAGCGAACACAGCATCAGTGTGTGTGACAGAGCGAACACAGCATCAGTGTGTGTGACTGAGCGAACACAGCATCAGTGTGTGTGTGACTGAGCGAACACAGCATCAGTGTGTGTGATAAACTGAGCGAACACAGCATCAGTGTGTGTGACTGAGCGAACACAGCATCAGTGTGTGTGACTGAGCGAACACAGCATCAGTGTGTGTGATAAACTGAGCGAACACAGCATCAGTGTGTGTGACTGAGCGAACACAGCATCAGTGTGTTTGATAAACTGAGCGAACACAGCATCAGTGTGTGTGACTGAGCGAACACAGCATCAGTGTGTGTGACTGAGCGAACACAGCATCAGTGTGTGTGACAGAGCGAACACAGCATCAGTGTGTGACTGAGCGAACACAGCATCAGTGTGTGTGTGACTGAGCGAACACAGCATCAGTGTGTGTGATAAACTGAGCGAACACAGCATCAGTGTGTGTGACTGAGCGAACACAGCATCAGTGTGTGTGACTGAGCGAACACAGCATCAGTGTGTGTGACTGAGCGAACACAGCATCAGTGTGTGTGATAAACTGAGCGAACACAGCATCAGTGTGTGTGACTGAGCGAACACAGCATCAGTGTGTTTGATAAACTGAGCGAACACAGCATCAGTGTGTGTCAAGTCAAGTCATCTTCATTTATATAGCGCTTTTAACAATGGATTGTTTCAAAGCAGCTTTACAGAGATAAACATATAATTTAAGGTAACAGATTGTTTTGGCGTTATAGCGGTTCTTGAATAATGTTATTTCCAGCTAAAGTTAACTTTGATTGATTCACCTCCGTCGAAATGATCAGACTTTAAACGCGAACCTGTGATTAACGCTGACGGCGTTCACATGCTCATTCAGAATACTATAGTTATGTGCTTTTTAAAATATGTGCGCAGGTTTGTAATTCATACAACCCAGCCTAAACAAACTACTTTTCTCGCCTATAAATTTCGATACAGAATTTTGTTTTATTTTATCACTTCGGGGTACGCGAGCCGGAATTCACAACGCTTTATCTGTAGAGTGGGAAAGGGATCCTCCATAGGGAGAGGATAGTGGATACTTCAGCACTGCGTTGTCATCGGGTCCAGGCAAAGCTCCCTCGTCAGATCTGGACACGGCCTGGATCCGGCAGGCTGCGGGAAAATCTCGGGATAAACAAAGACACTAATATTAGCGTAGATGCCATTCTTCTTATGATGTAGCGAGTACATCAAGATTTAAGGGAAGTGTTCCCAGTTCCGGCTGACCTAATCTATGCAGCCTAACATTGAATTTATAGAAGTCTATAATGTATTATGTGTATGCTAGGCCAAAGAGATGTGTTTTTAGTCTAGCTTTGAACTGACAGAGTGTGTCTGCTTCCCGGACAATGGTGGGAAGACTGTTCCAAAGTTTTGGTGCTAAATAGGAAAAGGATCTACTGCCAGCAGTCGATTTAGATATTCTAGGTATTATCAACTGGCCGGAATTTTGAGATCGCAAGACGTGAAGGACTATAATGCTTTAAGAGCTCGTTCAAGTACTGGGAGCTAAACCATTTAGTGCTTTGTAGGTAATCAACAATATTTTAAAATTTATACGATGTTTAATAGGGAGCCAATGCAGTGTTGACAGAACCGGGCTAATATGGTCATATTTCCTGGTTCTGGTAAGAACTCGAGCTGCTGCGTTTTGAACTAGCTGTAGTTTGTTTATTACGCGTGCAGGGCAACCACCCAGTAGAGCATTACAATAATCTAGCCTTGAGGTCATGAACGCATGGACTAATTGTTCCGCATTTCCCAATGATAGCATATGGCGTATTTTAGATATATTTTTAAGATGGAAAAATGCAGTTTTACAGATACTAGACACGTGACTTTCAAAAGAAAGGTTGGTATCAAATAGCACACCCAGGTTCCTAACCGACGACGAAGACTTAACAGAGCAGCCATTAAGTGTTAGACAGTATTCTAGGTTATTACGTGTGGAAGTTTTTTTTGTCCAATAATTAGAATCTCTGTCTTTTCAGAATTTAGTAGTAGGAAATTACTAGTCATCCAATTTTTTATATCAGCTATGCATTCCGTTAATTTTGTGAATTGGTAAGTTTCGTCGGGGCGTGAAGAAATATACAGCTGAGTATCATCGGCATAACAGTGAAAGCTAACTCCATGTTTCCTAATGAGATCTCCTAATGTTAGCATGTACAGAGTGAACAGCAGCGGTCCTAGTACTGAGCCTTGTGGTACGCCATACTGAACTTGTGATCGATAAGACATCTCTTCATCTATTGCTACAAACTGATAACGGTCAGATAAGTATGATTTAAACCATGCTAGTGCAATTCCACTAATGCCAACATAGTTTTCTAGTCTATTTAAAAGAATATTGTGGTCAATGGTGTCAAATGCAGCACTAAGATCGAGTAACACTAATAGAGAGATACAACCACGATCGGATGATAAGAGCAAATCATTTGTGACTCTAATAAGAGCGGTCTCAGTGCTATGGTACGGTCTAAATCCGGACTGAAAATCCTCGCAGATATCACTTCTTTCTAGAAAGGAACATAGTTGTGAAGATACTGCTTTTTCTAATATCTTTGACAGAAAAGGCAGATTCGAGATCGGCCTGTAATTGACTAATTCTGTAGGATCAAGTTGTGGTTTTTTAACAAGCGGTTTTATCATAGCCAGTTTAAAGGTTTTTGATACGTATCCTAGAGACAAAGATGAATTAATGATATTAAGAAGAGGATATATGACCTCTGGAAACATCTCTTTCAGTAGCTTAGTCGGTATAGGATCTAACATACAAGTTGTCGATTTAGATGAATTAACGAGTTTGCAGAATTCTTCCTCTCCTATAGCAACAAATAAATCAAATTTTTCCTCAGGGAGACTACACTGCACTTCCTGATGCGATACTGTGGTAGACGGTTGCATAGTTATAATTTTGTCCCTGATATTATCAATCTTATAAGTGAAGAAGTTCATA